TCGGAGATCGGAGGCTCTCCCCGACCTCCCAATCCCTGTCTCAGGAGAGGAGGATGCCGTATCATAGTCCCATGGGCATAGCTATGTGTCCCCATCCCCATGTGACAAGAGGAGAAGACTGGGGCTCAAGGAGGTGAGGTGACAGGGTTGAGGCCAGCTCTGCCATTTATTAGCTGTTTGATCTTAAAAAAAATCACTCGATCTCCATGAGCCTCAGTTTCCACATGTGTAAAAGGGGGACAATCATAGTATCTACCATGTGAGCTTGCAGTGCAGAGTATATGAATTAGACACAGAACAGTGAGGATGAGGATGACCTCTCACCCACCTGCCTTTCTGCCCAGCTGCCCACACTGCCCCTAGTCATGGTGGCACCCTCCGGGGCACGGCTGGGCCCCTTGCCCCACTTACAGGCACTCCTCCAGGACAGGCCACATTTCATGCACCAGGTATGGACCATGAATGGGCAGGGAGGAGGGAGCAGGTGGGAGAACTGCGGGGAGGGGCCCCAAGTCAGGCTGAGCCATAGCCCACATGTGCTCTCCAGCTCTCCACAGTGGATGCCCACGCCCGGACCCCTGTGCTGCAGGTGCACCCCCTGGAGAGCCCAGCCATGATCAGCCTCCCGCCGCCCACCACCACCACTGGGGTCTTCTCCCTCAAGGCCCGGCCTGGCCTCCCACCTGGTAACACCCCAGCCCATACCCCATGGCTTCACAGAACCCCCAAGTCCCCAGATCCTTGGCCGTGAGCAGTGTAGGCTATTCTGAATTGCAGTCCTCTGGGACGTCAAAGGTGTCAGGTCTCAGAGGCTTGGAAACTCCAACCTCCAAAAAACGTCAGGTGCAGAACCTTAAAGATGCCGAATGTCAAAATTATGAAACCACAGAGCTTTACAAAGCTAGTCAAAATGTCAGCACCTGCAAATGGCCGTCTTTTAGCTTCTCTGCCAGAAGCCTGGGAATTTGGGGACAGCAGAGCCCCTGGGAGTCAGAGTTTTCGAGGCTCAGGAGGGTGGAAAGCTCAAAATGAGAGGCCTTGTGGGCCAAGCTCCAGAGCCCGGCCCACAGCCCCCAAAGGTGCCCTGTCCCCATCCACAGGGATCAATGTGGCCAGCGTGGAGTGGCTGTCCAGGGAGCCGACACTGCTCTGCACCTTCCCAAATCCCGGCGCACCCAGGAAGGACAGGTCAGTGGACGGGGCTGGGAAGGATCCTCAACCTTCTATCCCCTCCCCTGACACCCTTTGTTCCCCCAGCACCCTTTCGGCCACATCCCAGAGCTCCTACCCACTGCTGGCAAATGGTATCTGCAAGTGGCCTGGATGTGAGAAGGTCTTTGAAGAGCCAGAGGACTTCCTCAAGTGAGTGGCCCAGGCCTGTGCCAGTCCGCCAGTCCTGGCTTGTGGAAGGAGGTCTGGGGTGCAGATCCTAGCCCAGGCCTCATCCCAATAGGTAGCAAGATGAAAGAGGTAAACTCTGAGACTGTGGGTTCAAACCCCAGCTCCATCCCTCACTAGCTGTGTGACTTTGGACAAGTTACTTAGCTTCTCTGGACCTCAGTTTCCTCATATGTATAATAAGAAACATTTATGCTGTTATTTACCTCCATTTTACAGACAAGGAGACTGAGGTCAAAGAGGTTAAGTGTCTTGATCAAAATCTCCCAGTTCCTGAGTGACAGTGCTGGGATTTGAACCCACACAGCCAGGCTCCGGAATCTGAACTCCTAACTGCTTTGCCCTGCTACTCCTCATGCCAACATGCCAGCCTTATTCCACTGTCTCCAAAGTTCTAGCTCTTCCAGATGGCTGCTGCTGCCTCCTCTCAGTTCCTCCACCTCTCCCTCTCCCTCTCCCTCCCTCTCCTCCCCTCCCCCCCCCACACACACCCCACACTACGCACAATCCTTAGCAGCAACTCGAACGTCCTGTCTTCCTTGTGGCCAGGCTTTGCACAGGCCGTCCCCTTCACCCAGAGTGTCTTGCCCACTCTCACCTGCCTGGCCCCATCACAGCTCACCACACTTCCAACATTACCTCCAGCACCCTGGCCAGGTGGTAAGCTCAGCCCTGACATGCAGTGGGTGCCAAGTGGCACATGTTGAGGGAATGAGGGGTGTGAGAGGGAGACTGACATAGAAAGTGGAGGGGAGCTGGAGCTCACAGGAGAGACCTCCCAGAGGGCCTGGGCCCTCCCCATTCAGAGCGTTGAGCCAGGCCAGCCCTGTCATGGTCACCTGCATGGAATCTTCTCCCTACTTAGGCACTGCCAGGAGGACCATCTTCTGGATGAAAAGGGCAGGGCGCAATGTCTCCTCCAGAGAGAGATGGTACAGTCTCTGGAGCAACAGGTAATTCTGGGGTGGTGGGGGATAGGGGATAGGGAATAGGGATAGTGGGGAAAATCTTCTGTCCACCACGTGCCAGAAACCAAGTTCACCTGGGACGAGGGCTAGTATAAAGGAAGGAAGAGGAGCAGGCACTCCCATGGAAGACCATAGCCTGGGCAAAGATGTGGCAGAGAAAGGCCAGGCTGAGGCCTCATGTTTGTGCCATTTCACAGCTGGTGCTGGAGAAGGAGAAGCTGAGTGCTATGCAGGCCCACCTGGCCGGGAAAATGGCAGTGCCCAAGGCTCCATCTGTGGTGAGCAACCCCAGGCCTGCTGGTGGCAAACTCAGACTGCTGGGGAGCAGGGAGGAGGCCTGCAGGGTGCAGGGAACCTAACCTCACATGCAGGCCCTGAGAGCTAGGGGCCCCTGTCCCCAGCTCCAAACATGCCCGGACCTGGAAATCTATCCCCCTCCATGTACAAACCCTCTGACCCTAAGATTCCCAAACACTGTGATCCTGAGTTGTCAAAGCAAATGCAAATAGCCAAAGACGCAGGCTGTGTGCCAGCAGGACCGGCTATGTAACCTACAGGGCCCCTTGTTCAGATTTCAAGATGGCAACCACAGAGCATTAAACAAAGCACAGGGTGTCACATAACCACACAGGTCACATGCACATGAAGCCACCCTGGGGGCCAGACACTGTTTCTGAGCGCTTTGCTGGTGGTAATTTATTTCTCAGGATGTCAATATACAGATGAGGAAAATTGAGGCCAGGGAGGTTTAGGTGACTTTCCCAAGGTCACAGTTGGGTGGTAAAAACCACTATTCAACCCCAGCTCATGGTCCCAGCATCAGTGGCCATATATGGCGTCCGCACCCGTGCTCTAATAAATACGGCTCATGCTGTTTTGTGGGATTCCACCTCAGACTGGAATTGAGAAGAGGGCGTCCTTGCTTTGAAAAACACTGTTTTAAAAATAAAGTGGGGGCAGACGAAATAGCTCATGTCTGTAGTCCCATGACTTTGGGAGGCCGAGGTGGGTGGATCACCTGAGGCCAGGAGTTCGAGACCAGCCTGGCCAAAATGGTGAAACCGCAGCTCTACTAAAAATACAAAAATCAGACAGATGTGGTGATGGGTGCCTGTAATCCTAGCTACTCGGGAGGCTGAGGCCAGAAGAATCGCTTGAAACTGGGAGGTGGAGGTTGCAGTGAGCTGAGATCACACCACTGCACTCCAGCCTGGGCAATCAGAGCAAGGAAAAAAAAAAGAAATTAAAAAGTGGGAAGTTTAGGGCCGGGCGCGGTGGCTCAAGCCTGTAATCCCAGCACTTTGGGAGGCCGAGGCGGGTGGATCACGAGGTCAAGAGATCAAGACCATCCTGGTCAACATGG